CAATCAGCCCTGCACGTAACGCCTAGCATCGTTCCATACCGTCACCAATCATCCCTACAGCATACTATCGTCAGTCATGAAAAGATCCGGTCAAATGACACGAGTTTAGATCTATGAACAAGGCACGAAAAGGAAAAGAATCGGCGACAGGCCACATCAGGCCTACACTTCAGCGCCGACATCACTATGTTATGTTATGTTAAATCTGCCGTCACTAACCTGGCCGCGACATCACTCAGCCTTGAATGTTATCAGCCTGACACCAATTACAGCTACTCAGGGAGGAATGACTGTATACCACCATACCTTGCATCGACGCATTCCTCCATATTCTGGCCTGCTGTCGAATTGTACCTAGACCACGCCGTAGTTAATGTGTTGCCGATTAAAAAATACGACACGGTTGAATCGCGGTGATTTTCCCGGGTAGAATCGGGTATATAGTGTCGAAAAATCTCTGGAGGTTAGGTAAGGCAAGGCGGCCGAGGCTTTTTTAGCACATTTTCTCATTCATGGCAAAAATGCGCTATTGTGCTCGTCATGTCCCTCCGTCTGCGACTTTATCCGTCCGTCCGTGACTTCACGTCACGGACGAACCAGAAAATGCGCTCCCTGTCACTCACTCCAGTGAGTACTGATCTAATTTTTTTTCATTATAGGAACCTTGGCTGTCTTACCTAACCACTCGAGCTTCTTCTACCCTACCCGACTCTAACCCGGGTAGAATGGTATAGGAAACTTTTACCCCATATATTAAATACTCCAACCAATCAGCCTAGATCTTGTTGGCAGTTGCATTCCACATGCCTGACACTGCGAGACCTGCTGTCGCATGAGCCATGCAACTGGCTCAACTCAGCGAGTGTCGGAGCGCTGCAAAACTGGTAGAACTTTTGATTTGAGGAGTGGTGATCCTGAAAAGAACATTCGGGACTCATGCAGGCCTTCGCATCGGAAAACTGCCGCGCGTCACTGATTGTTTTGTTAGTAGGAGAAGAGGGAAAACGTGACAGGTGGAAGCGAAATTAAAGCAGACGCTATAGGGTGGGAAAATTTGTGTGACACAAACTTGTGCGGGCTCAACGGGTAGGAAAAAGTCGACGTGCTTTTTCTCCCGTTTATTTCATATACTTGAGTGACGTAAGCTGAGTGACGATTTGAAGAAAGAATAAATGAGGATACGAAAACTTAGTGCGTTTAATTTGACGAGTGACGAACGACGTCACACTACCACCGGGCGCACCGGACGATTTACCACCAGTGTTAGGACGATGTCACACTGGGCGGGCGGCAGGCAGTCGACGATGGCACTCGGTGGCACTGTACTGGCTTATCCATTATAGTCTGGGTATGCGTGAGGTACTCTCTCTCTCGGTGCATGAGGGTTATGTGGTTTTGTTTGCAGATGCCACATCTTGGTTGTGCGGTGCAGTCAGTTGCAAAGTGGTGGCCAAGACAGTAACAACAGAGTTGATGATCAATCACCAGCTTTAGCTTATCTTTATACCGGAGTCGTTTGAATGACCTGCAGTCGAGTAGAGAGTGACTCGCGGACTGGTGGACCGGACATATCTTGAATATCTTCTGGGGGTTGGCGTTGGACGAGACGGGCGTTTGTAAAACTCTCGTTGCATGCTTCATGTCGCTTTCGTTTGCGGGTTCCATCACCTTTACCGCGTAGTTGTCATCTGACATTTCTATTACTTGACGGTTCAAGAAGTCTACAAGGAGTTCGAACGGGGGCTGCTTGCCACCGTGGGTTTCTTGGTACTTCTGGCCTACGCTTCTCCATTTCAGCTGGATGTGTTCTGGTAGTTTATATCGTATAGGGCGCGTGCCTGTGGCAACATTCATAACACAGAGCTCAGGGCAGTGTTCCATGTGTTGTAAGATGACTTCGCAGTGGTCGAGCAGTTCTTGCAGTTGTTCGGCTTTATTCGAACCTCTAATTACGGGAAATCTTTCAATTCTTGATATTAATTCATCGGCTATTTTTCCTGTTGCTCCGTAGAGGCGCTGCAGCTTCTCCCCAATCGAGTGTAGATCTTCCGAAGTAATTTTCTTCCCAGAGGTGAGTTTCGCCTTGATGATTGCACGCGGACGCCCCGTAGAGTTAGTCTCCCACAGTTGAAGTGTCTCACGTTGGGAAAGTCGAAGAGATTCCGCGTATTCGCGCACTGTGGCCGCTCATGGCCAGAATTGGGTAGGAGTGCCATCGAAGCTGTCAATAGTTTTCGTTAAGTAGTCTTCTTGCAACATGCGGTTCGCGAACATGGTAAGAACGTCTTGGGCACTGGGCTTCAGGGGCGAGGTCGGGTTGGTCTGTAAAGGCCTGTTCACACTAGGGGCAACACACGAGAATCAAGTGCCTCAAAGCGCATGCAGAGGCGCTTTGCAGCCTCTGCATGCGCTTCTTGACCGATTGACGAGCTAGCGATGGACAGGGGCCATGCCTCATGCAACACAAGCGCGGCGCTTAGTACAAAAAATATGTATATTTTGTCTAGCATTAGTTACGATAGAGGAAAATGTTGTTCATCGCTCAATCAATGTTCATTATACTATATGCGACTTACCTAATTTTGTGAGACACAAGGATGTAGTACTATTTATTCTCTATTGATCGGTATTAATGACATATCTAAATCAACCTCTATTTTGTAGATATTTTGTAACAAAATATTTTTTCATTACTGCTAAATCGGAGATTTCATATTTTCTTTGGAAGCCGCAGTTCTCATGAAGGAGTTGTGGAAAAAATGAGGGGAAACACACCTCGTAAATTACCCGCCTGTCACACTTGTGGTGAAGGGAAGCACAATAAGGGGCGAGTAATAATGGTTGGCCAGTGGTCTGGCCTCGGCCAGTTAGTTTTAGTCACCGCAGGCCATTCCTCGGCCTCCTAAGAGACGGCCGCAGCCCCTTAGATGGGTGCTGGCTCAGGTATCATATTACAAAGGCAACAAGCTCGAGCGCAGCAACTTGCCGATCTGAACACAGAACAAGGGTTCCAAATCCTTGTCGCGAATTTCTCGCTCACGGACTTCGCCGTACTGTGACTACAGGCCTTAAGTTTCCGGCAATAACATAGGTATTCCTTCATTTTCTCCTTGAGCCGAGCGGCACGCCCTTTCAATCGTTCTGGTTCCTGTCTTAGCTCTTCGTCTTCTAAGTCCAGCAAGGTATCTAGTTCATCGTGAATCTGTTCTAGTACATTTTCTAATTCGGTGCGGTTGAGCTGATTTGCATTTTTTGGTAGCTCCATTTTCGCTATCTTCTTCTCGCTGGTACGTTCGTTGAGCTTCTCTCAGCTTCTCCACCGCCAGGTTTTTGACTCGTCTTACTGACACAAACTTGTGCGGGCTCAACGGGTAGGGAAAAGTCGACGTGCTTTTTCTCCCGTTTATTTCATATACTTGAGTGACGTAAGCTGAGTGACGATTTGAAGAAAGAATAGATGAGGATACGAAAACTTAGTGCGTTTAATCTGACGAGTGACGAACGACGTCACATTGTGTCAAGGGTAAGATGAAAAGAGAGGAAATGAAATCCAAGAGGAAAGTTATTTGGTCTTTTATTGCTATGTTCCATTAATTGCACTGTAGTTTTTGATGTTCATATTAGATAGTGGTCTCTCCCAGGCTATAAATAATTATTTGTTCCGCTGTAATGCTCAGTGTGCTGCAGGCACGATGAGGGAGTGATGACGAAGACGTTAGTCAATGAGAAAAGGCATCATAAGTTCAGCGTTTCCATGGGCAAAATGAATATTCAATGTTAGTGTAAGTAGAGCTGTGAGAGGACTAAACAGTATTTTGAGACTAATGATTCACTCAGTGAGCGCGATACCAGATGTGGTCTGTCTCAGTGAGCGTGGCACTAGTTTTGACCTGATAACAGATAAGTGCCGTTTTATGTTGCCTTTGCACTGTTGATGCAATTTAAGAGCAACAATTTATTGGTAACGAATAACACAATTTTATTCATAGAATGAAATAATTATCTGTGAGCGTATTGAAAGGTACGGTTACCCTGGGCGCGCGTATTTGCTGCGGACGGTGTGCGAGGTGGCGGAGGCACCCCTGCACTACGGCATCATAACATAACATAACATAACATTGATGTCACTTATTTGCTTAAATCTCAAGTTAACTAAAAATTTAAAAGCAAAGAATAGTCCACAAAAATTCATATCTTTGTAGAAAACGTTTCGGAGTGCAGCTCCATCGTCAGTTGTAGAATCTAGAATTCATATAGCCGGTGTCGGTATAGCAGAAAGACCCGTAGATTTCGACTTCTTGGGGTATGTTTCTCGGTGTTGTGCCAATGGTAGAGCACTGAAGAGAGTGCCCCGGGGAGCTGTGGTCTGCGCAGCGGATGCTCTGCAGAAACTGCTGGAGGCGGCGTTAAGTGAAGACAGTACTCCATTAGCGTGGGGTAGACTGCTGTCATTTGGGTGGATCGCGCTGCGGCAGCCGGAGAGCAGCGGTTCGTCTCACTCACTAACCACAGTAGTCAAGAGGCAGATTCGAGCATTTATTGAATGCCAACAATGTCGGCGGCATGACTCGCAGTGACAACTTTAATATGCACTCAATAACATGAACATGGCACTTCCAATTCTAGAATCATACACATTAGCGAACGATAGAGAAATATAAGCCTAATGAGCTATAGCAACATATTAAGGGTAACACTGGGAGGGCTCGTGGAGCAACACATTACTCGCTCGAGCTGTGGACACACACTGACGCAGTGACGCTGTGAGGAACGCGGCCACCTCTTGAGGGCTCGCTGCGTTCACATGGTTATAATTTCGTTGATCTTTGCGATATTTTCCACGCACTTGTGGAGTGAACGCAGGGATGAGGGAAGATTTGAAGAAAGAATAGATGAGGATAAGAAAACTTAGTGCGTTTAATCTGACGAGTGACGAACGACGTCACAAAAGAGTTCATTTGAACCTTCCAATACTTCTTAGGAGTTGAATTCAGCCAATCATGATGGACTTGCGGCTTCTTTCGGCCCTCGGGGCGCTGCTGTGCGTCTGCTGCAGCATCGAGGATGGCTCAGCTTTTACGTTCAAGACTTTCACGGGCACCGAAATTGCCACAACTGCGATCTCGACCACCGTGGTCGTGGAGCGTCCTTGTGAGCAGAATTACGAATATATAACACAATCGTTTGATTTTGAATGAAAACTGTATAAATTAAGTGTTACGTATTCATGTATCTTGTTAATGAAAAACTGTCCAAGTAAAGATTTTGGTGATTATGTATCGTTTCAGGGATAGACTACCATGTTTTTTATAAGCCAGTCCACCTATTAAAATTATGCATCCATTTCAGGTGAGTGTCGAGCTCTGTGCCGGGACGCATGCGCTGCGGTAGCCATCAGGCGGCAATCGCGTAGCCGCTACCGCTGCTCCTTTACCGGACAAAGCATCACTGACACCAGCACCGGCACCGACCTTTTGGTCCGTGCGCCTGACAGCAGGGTTTTCTATAAACGTAAGTCGCGTTCCATGAAAATTTATACATAACTTGAAGCTTGAGCTTTGCATTGGTAATTATTCAAAAATTTGTCTCCTCTTCAGTAGCTTCACTCGTTAAGTTATGGACTAATAGTCTCATTTTACTGGTCAAGTTATTAACCTTTGTTGAATCAGTCTGACCTTAGTATGAATTCTGTTTTTTCCAGTTATTTGTCGTATAGGTATTAGTTTACAATTAAAATAATGCTTACGTTCGAGTTATAAAACGAGGTTAATCCTCACGGTGACATCATAAAACAAGCCCTACGATCGCTATGCTTAGTGGGGTCTACTCGTTATGGTAATGTATTTCCGAAAATTAATCCCATATGCTTGCTTAACTTATACATATTTCTTATTTTCACCGTATGTCCAACTATTCCTCAGTCCTAATCGACACAAAGTCTAAATGAATTAAATAGAATACTTTCTTGGCAAGAAGTAACCAATATGGATGAGTGAGAAAAAAATGTTCTCAATCGTTGTTGATGATGATGTTATCAGGCCAGGGATGCCGACCCAACTTCTCGCTCGTGGACAACGTGGGCTGCATTTACCTCTCCACCGTCAAACTGAACTTCACCGCCGCCGCTGCATCCTGCCCCTCCGGCTCACAACTCTTCACCGCCAGCTTCCTGATCGACTTCGACGCCATGCGGAACTACTTACTGAAGAACTACCTTTGTAAGTCACGAGCGCATAGTTAAACTGTTGACCAATATTTCCTGTTGTTCTTTGTTGATATACATTCTGAAATTATCAAGATTTCGGATATTAGTCAACAACCTCACTACAATTCAAAAAGGCCATTGCTTGATGACTTATCTTGACACAAGCCTGTGCAGTCGGTGTACCTAAAAAACATCTTTTCGAACTTCATGGTTCATGGAACTGATTGTCCCCATGAGAGCCTGATAACTCTCTCCACCAAACTTCTTTTCGACGCCATGCGATCAACCTCTTGAGCAATATCGATCCTAAGTTTATACAGATTGTATAGTGAGCATATCGATGAATTTGTAGTTTTTCTACTTATAGTTTGGATTCTCGAAAACCATCGCACCTCCGGTGAGTTATCATGAAGACACTATCATCTTTAATTTCACTTTAGCTATTGGCGATATAGCACTCAAATGACTGCCATTTGACTCGTGATAAGCTGCGGAATGAATAGCTCTGAAAATGGATTTGAGCAGAGACCAAACTTCTGAGATATTCATTTTATACGAGACGATACTTTTCAATTTGATTGTTTAAAATTTTGAAAACGAGCAAAATTGGCCAATGCGGCCGTTATTGCAACCAAGCACCTCTTTGAAATCTGGTTTTGCTGCAGAAAGTATTCAGCTATCATCACCTATTACTCAGCACATAACCTGAGTATTATAACCCGTATACAATTAAAAACGAAAGATGGTACACAAAATACAAATTTTTTTATAGCAATCGAATCAAGGCGTCGATGAATAAGTTAGATGAACCCTAGCACGTAAATGAATAAATAACTTTCGAATAATCTAGGAAGACGCTGTTTTTAGCGCATTTTCTCATTTATGGAAAAATGCACTATTGTGCTCGCCATGTCCGTCTGTCCGTCTGTCCGTCCGTCTGTCTGTCCGTCCGTGACCTCAAGTTTTCGTCAACGAGAAAATGCGCTCTCTGTCTCTCACTGCAGTGAGTACTGAATTATATTTTTTATACCAATGAGTGGCTGCAGTATATTTGCGTGAAAAAATGCCGTATTTCCTTTGCCACTCGTAATGACTTATGATGCAACAATTATTAAGTTAAGATGTAAATTATAGTAAACAAGTGTCATTTCTGCAGCCTCTCTCGAGACTGCATGGGTTGGACTTAGCCGTACCTCGAATCCAAAAACTTGGGAATGGTTGGGGGGCGGGACCATTCCATCCATTCAACCTTCGCCCTACTGGGGCAAATATGATCCAGACGGAGCAACGGATTGTCCAGCAATGCATTATAGTTTATCAGCAGGCTACTTATATCATTTGGCCGATCTTGCCTGTGGCGATAACCTCAAGTTTCTGTGTAAGCAGAATTAAATTCAGCTGTGCAAAATTGAATAAAAGCGTGCCTTCTGCGTACCTTCAGCAACAGATGTATCCCTGCAGATATTGATTAATACATAGATATTGCACATATTTGGCTAAGTCTACATAATTATACGAAATATTCTACTAAATCTGTCAGTCTTAGTATAGTAGAGTATCTTTGGCATTGAAGAATAGGCCTGCATAGGCCTGTCGCCGTTTATTGTACTTTTCTTGACTAGTTCGCAGATCTAAAAGACTGGCCATTTGATCAAATCTTTTCAACGAACGGTAGGTTTAAAATTATTTCTAGATATCAGATGTTCCGTAGGATACGAGGCATTTCAAAACTAAACATATGCTCCTGCATGGCCTTGTCTAGTCTGTTCTTGAACGCATTCATACTCGGAGCGTCAACAATATCTTCAGGGAGGCTGTTCCACATGTCGGTGACTCGAAGCTAGAAGAAATGTTGTCGCATGGATGAGTTGCACCGCAGTTTTTAGCGCATTTTTCATTTATGGAAAAAGGCGCTATTGTGCTCGTCATGTCCGTTTGTCTGTCCGTGACTTCACGTTTTCGTCGACGAGAAAATGAGCTATCTGTCACTCACTGCAGTGAGTACTGATCTAATTTTTTAGTTTATAGCCGTGGCCCCAGGTGTTGATTCTTGTTTCAAATTCTAGTAATCCTTCTGGGACCTTGTACAAACCATGAGTATACTTGTATACTTCAATGAGGTCACCACGCAGGCTACGATAACGGAAACAGGGAAGCTTCATAATCTTCAATCTTTCTTCGTAAGTCTTGCCCTTTACCATAGCATAACATAGTCATCTCGGCGCTGAAGTGTAGGCCTGATGTGGCCTGTTGCCGATTCTTTTCCTTTTCGTGCCTTGTTCACGGAAGATCTACAATCGTGTCATTTGACCGGATCTTTTTATGACTGACGATAGTTTGAAGTAGCTACTAGACTTCCACCGGGTTCGATATGGTGCTAGGCATTACAAATCTGAACATATATTTTTCTCCATAGCTTTATCTAGTCTGTTCTGAAACGCGTTCATACTTGGAGCGCCAACGATGTCATCGGGGAGGCTGTTTCACATGTCGGTGATTCGAAGCGAGAAGAAATTTTGTCGCGTGGAGAAGTTGCAGCGCATTTTTTTTAGTTTATAGCCGTGGCCCCTGGTGTTGGTTCTTGTTTAAAATTCTAGTAATCCTGCGGGGACTTTGTATAAACCATGAGTATACTTGTATACTTCAATGAGGTCCCCACGCAGACGTCGATAACTGAGGCTTGGAAGCTTCATAATCTTCAATCTTTCTTCATATGACTTGCCCTTCAAGCCTGGAATTATCCTTGTTGCACGTCTTTGAACATTATCTATTAAATTTCTGTTCTTTTCAAATCTCGGAGACCACACAACGTTTCCAAACTCTAGATTCGGGCGCACGACAGCGACAAACAACTGCTTCATTCTGCATCTAGGAACTCGTATGAGCGTCTGATTAGTCCAAGAAGTTTGTTGGATGTGTTAGCTTGCGTTTCAACATGCTTAGAAAATTTCAGCTCCTTGTCGACATAAACTCCGAGATCTTTTTCCACACTAGACTTTTCAATCATTACTCTGTCGTTGCAACCATGTCTTCTCATACTGTAATCTTGTTCATTGTTCTTCCCGAGGTGAAGTACTTTACACTTGTCAGCATTAAACCGCAGCTGCCATGCATCAGCCCAGTTAACTGAACTGTCAAGATCATCTTGTAACTGCGCTTTATTTGACGCATCCTTCGCTGTATTATAAACTTTTGTGTCGTCGGCATACATGGAGCACACGCTGGACACTGCTTCTGGCAAACCGTTTATAAAAGCATCGGATAAAATAGGCCCAAGAACTCTTCCTTGTGGCACGCCACTGCGCACTGATGCCCAGTCTGACACGGTTCCGTTAATACTGACACGCTGTCGTCTACCTACTAGAAAATCTCTGATCCATTAGAGTACGTTCCCCTCAATTCCCAAAGACTTCACTTTATGCAACAGCCGCTCATGCGGAACACTGTCAAATGCTTTGGCAAAATCGAGGTACAATGCATCCACTGGCTCCCTTTCGTCCAGCAGGCGAGTCCAATCGTTCAACGTAGATAATAAGTTAGTGGTGCAGGATCTACCGGCAATAAAATCATGTTGACAATCTGATATGAGATGGTGAGCAGTCAAGTGATCGATAATCCTATCCCTCACAACAGATTCCATTAGCTTACAAACAACACTTGTCAGACTGACAGGGCGATAGTTGTCGGGGCTGCTTTTGTTACTTTTTTAGAATAATTGTTCACTTCAGCTTCTTTCCATTCGGACGGCAAAGTTCCTTCGTTCAAGGTTTTTTGAAAGAATTCTGTTAATGGGCCGGCCAGAACGGTTGCTAATTCTTTGAGCAATCTGGGATGGAAGCCGTCTGGTCCGCATGGCTTGTTGGGATTTAGAGCTACTAGAGCCTGGAATAATCCTTGTTGCACCTTTTTGAACACTCTCTAATATTTTGTCCTCTTCAAGTCTTGGTGACCACACAACGTTTCCAAACTCTAGGTTCGGGCGAGTGACAGAGGTGAACAACAGCTTAATCCTTTCTACATATCGGTACTCGTAGGAGCTTCTGATCAGCCCAATCAGTTTATTGAATTTATTAACTTTGCGTTTCAGTATACCTAGAAAATTTTAGAACCTTGTCGACACAAACTCCAAGATCTTTTTCCACGCTAGACTTCTCAATTATAACTCTCTCGTTGCAACCATGTCTTCTCATGCTGTAAGCTTGCTGTTCATAGTTCTTACCCGGGTCAAGTACTTTACACTTGTCAGTAATGAAACGCAGCTGCCACGCATCAGCCCAGCCAACTATACTATCGAGATCATTTTGCAGTTGCATTTTATTTGACGCAACCAAAACTATATTGTAAACTTTTGTGTCATCGGCATACCTGGAGCACACGCTTGACACTACTTCTGGTAGATCGTTTGTAAAAGTGACAAACAAAACAGGCCCAAGAACGTTTCCTTGCGGTACGCCACTGCGCACAGTTGCCCAATCTGATACGGTGCCGTTAATGCTGACACGTTGTCTTCTGCCTACTAGGTAATCTCTGATCCATTGGAGTACATTTCCCTCTATTCCCAAAGAATTCACTTTACGTAACAGTTGCTCATGCGGAACACTATCAAATGCCTTGGCAAAATCGAGGTACACTGCATCCACTGGCTCCCTTTTCTCCAGCAGGTGAGTCCAATTATTCAAGGTGAACAGGAAATTAGTGGTGCATGAACTGCCAGCAATGAAGCTATGCTGACAGTCTGATAGAAGATGGTTAACAGTCAAGTGATCGACAATTTTATCCCTCACAACCGATTCCAACACCTTACGCACAAAACTTGTGAGACTGACAAGACGGTAGTTACCGGGGTTACTTCTGTCACCTTTTCTGAACAGGGGTGTCAAAGAAGCCATTTTTTGGGCTTCTTTCCAGTCGGCCGGCAAGGTCCCTTCGATTAAGGTTTTTTGAAAAAATACTGTTAAAGGGCCGGCCAGGACGGTTGCTAATTCGTTGAGTAATCTAGGGTGGAAACCGTCTGATCCAGGTGACTTGTTGGGATTCAGGGAGTCCAGGTGCTTGAGAGCCTTCTCTTCGTGTATCTCAAAAAATTGGCAATAGTCTTAGTTGTTGCAGCAATAAGTGAACTTAACTTAAAGCTCAACTTAGTCTTAGCAGCAATAAGTGAAGAAATTGAACCACAAATATTAAAACATGCCTCTAACGATAAAAAAATAAAAATGAATTGCTCTATAATAGAAGGCTTTTAAACGGCTGAACCATTGTATCTTATTACAGTGAATAAGCAGGTGTCGTATATAATAAAACATTGCGTCCATGAGTCGAGAATTTTCCACGTTTTTAGATTTAACGGCATTAATTTTGAGACATTATTATAAGTCTCTCTAATTACCCCACATTAACACGGGATGACCATATTCAAACCTAAATTGAATGCGAAGTAATTAACTGGCGGATGAAAGGAGAACGGTGCTAGACATTAATTAATGGTGCTCCTAATTAAGTAAGCTGAACATTTTAGCTTGTGATGCGATAAAAATTTACATCTTCAAGTTGATCCATACAAATGTCAGTGCAGTTCAGTTGCCATTGTATATTACTATTCTTAAAGCTTGAACTTATATAGAAGTTTAATTTGTTATTTTAAGCTGGCACACAACCAATATCACATTTTGAGTGCTATCGTTGACATTTTTTCACCTTGTTGCCCAAGTTGACTTCATCTCGAATTTACGGCCTTGTGTGTGGCTTAGATTATTATTAATAATAATAATAATAGCGGTTTCAGCGTTATTAGGCCGTAGGCCTGTCGCCGATTCTTAACATCGCAGAACATTCACAGCATTTTGCGGTCTCGAACTCGCAACTCACTGCTACAATTCAGCTATGCTTAACCGCCCGGCCTCCTCGCCGATTCTGACCAGAAACTGGCGCACAGAGCTGGGATCGAACCCGCGCCTCACTGCGCCAATCTTGGTACTCTGAACTTTAACCACTGGGCCGCCCTGACAAACAAAACAGGCATTCCTTCTTGAGATTATTGTTAACGTACAAGCTCTACTACTATTATATTTATGACACATTTCGGCGTCTGGCATTCATTTAAGCTTGACTTGCACTTGATAGAACATATTCAAAATAGTACTAGTTTCTCAGCATTCCCATTTGCAATCTTAGAAGGTATAGGCTTAATGAATATTTTAACAATGGCCATTTATTGTCCTGCTAGTGCTGCATTAATTATTCGTTGCTTATTAATGAGCTTAATTGTGATTTTGGAAGCCCTACATCCAATCCAAAAACTTATTGATGATTATAATTTACTAATTAGACCTGAATAATAATAAATAACACAATATAATCGAATTTTGATTTTACAGTTCTGTCTGTTATGTTATTCACTTTGTGCTTTTTATTTCAGTGTAAAATGATAACTTTGTTG